AATTTTTATCAATGGCAAAAATCAAATTTTCAATGTACTTTAGGACCAGTAACTTTACCTTACCTAGATGAATTTATTGAAATGGTTTATGAACAGTTAGATAATTTACAAGAGCATCATTTTATATCAAAAAATCAAGCCACCTACTTCCAACATTTGAAAACTAATTTAAAAGAAATTAGTGATCCTCAAATTCACGAGAATTTCAATTTTGAGAATATCGGGAATGAAAAAGCTCATTTCCAGGATTTACCGTTACCGGGAGTGAGCTTTTCAATATTTTTTTTCTTTCTAAAACCTGAAAATTTGTAATCAAAAAATACATATAAAAAATATATAAATATAAAAACATATAAAAACATATAAAAACAATACAAAGAACTCAAAAATTATGTAATCTACTTAATTAATTTATTTCGGAAATAACATTTAAAAAAAGAAATAGCATCGATGTTCTCATCACAAAGATGGTTGCGAACTTTGCTCACAAGAATATTTGCTTCCAAAAAACAACGTTCTGCAGCTACTGATGTTGCTTGTATTGTATTCAGTCCCTCGAAAAGTCTATCCAGAGTTGGTGAGCATACTTTTGTCTTCGCATACATCTGCATCTCCTTTTTGTAGTCAATAACTTTGCCCGCCTGCTTGTTGTTGATCTCTCTTGAAGCTTTCAAGGCAAGTGTCAGTTGCTCAGCTAAACTTCTTTGAACCTGCTGTGATGTTGATGCTGATGGTTCTTCTTGCTGTTCAGGTTGTACCACACAATCATCATTTTCAGTACTGAAGAGCCTTTCCATCAGTCTCACTGCAAGTTTGCTCATAACTGCAACAATCGATGTAGCAAAGTGATACGGCCTATTGATGCTGTTGATGTCGTGCAAGTAAAGGTTGAGTGATTGAAGAACGTCATGTCTGCGTTTGTTGATTTTCTTTTTGATAGCCAAGAAGATGTCCTGTGAGAGCTGATGATCATGCATTTCTAAATTGTCAAAGAGAAACTTGATAGTTGTGTTGCAATCGATGAGATTTACTGAATTCTTTGACAAGAATTGAATTGCCAACTTTGTTGGACTCAGAACTTCTACCAGCTCCTCCAATCTTTTTGAGTCGATATCTGGCCATTAGTAGGTTTTGTCAATCTCCCTGTGGTTCAGAGCTTCCTTTATAGGTCCAAGTAACTCTAAGAACCTATTGCAAGCATCATGAAGGCTGCCCCAACAAGTCTTTAAATCTAACTTCAGCTTAAGTTTTCTCCCGTTGTTCATCCTCTTAACGAATTTTTGAAGAATTTCATTTTTTCGATGATCAATGAAAGAGGCTCACGATTTTTCTCAATTTGGTGATCGTTGATTGATAAGCAAAAACCATTTGAAGTGAATGGGCCTCCTCTTCATTGTCTGATTCAACAATGTGTTTCTCTGGATCCAAGCCAAATTCCATCAATCTTGCTTCGCACTATTAATAAAAAAATAAAAAACAAAATGATTAGAAACCTAAAAAAAGAAAAAGATTATAATATCAACTTACTAGCTTTTTGATGTTAAGAGCAGTTGCACTTCCATAAATTGAAACCATGCCCAAATTGATTTATGTTCAAGAAACGTCGCCCTGCAGTAGAAGTCCATTCATCAAGGGTTGTTGAAAAGAAATGTCCTTCAGCTAGATGAGTTTGTATCCATGATTTTATTTTAGCCTTGATGTCTTCATGAAAACCTCAAACAATCTTTACAACACCAGATCCATTCTTTGGGAATTTTTTCGTTGGAAACTTCTCTTTCACATGCTCTGTTATTATATCTAAGTTGACGATCTGTTTGAAGTTCAATCCATTTAAGCAACCTCTTTAGAAATGGTTTCCTCAAACGATGCTCTATTAAAATCTGTCATCAGCTTTTGCCTCTTTGGAGGATTGTCAGTGCTGCTTGTGCTTGGTTGAGCTTGGTTGCTAGTTGTCGGTCCAGATTTCAATGGGTCAAGTATCTGATGAACACACTTTAGATGTTCTATCAAACCCTTCGTTGAACCCCCAGCACAATTGAGAACAGCACTACACTTTCGGTTGCCCAAGTCTACGTCACAGCGCTTATCTTTTCTTTATCTTTGTTGCCCGTATCCTTTAAAGTGCTTCCACACAAAAGACATGCTATTCAAAATTAAATGATAAGATATGAAGATAAAAGAAATAAAGAAAAAAGAAAAGAAATAAAAAAAAAAAGGAAAAAGATTTAGAAAAAGAAATAACATAATATGTACTATATTTACCTTTGATAATTTGTCGAAAATAACTTTTTCACTTTCTTTTAAAAAAACTTGCACAATGCACTTTACACTTTAAAAAATATTGAATAACTAATTATTAATTAATTTTACGCATTTTTACAACGTTTGTATAAGGTTGCTTTTTAGTGTGCCTGTCTGTCGGTCTGATTAAAATCTTTGAAGCGATATTTAACCCACTTCCCGACCAGCTACAACTCTGAAACTTTCAAGATAGATCAGAACCCGATGACAATTCAATTTAAAACCATTTCCAAGCTTCTTCAACCAATATTTCTCAAAATTTCAACAAAATTCAATTTTATATGGAGAAAAAAACAAACACGAGGTCAGCGGTAATAATTAAAGAAGTACGCCAAACTTTAGTTTAGCATTAATAAAATAAATCATTAAGAAAAGTAATTAAAACAAACAACGTGAAGCTGACTTTAGTTTAGTATAAATAAAAGAAATCGGTAAGAAAAGTAATTTAAAATAATCTACAATAAAAAGAATAAATCTAAAAAGTATAAAATAATAAAAACAATAAAAATAAATTTTTCTACAAACAACGTCTTTCTAGCGTCCTAAAAAGTAGAAAATAATTTTTCTTTGAGCTTGTCAGAATGTCTGGTTATATTCCTCTTATCATGATGACAGATTTTATAACAAATTTGATACAGGTATTACGAAAAATGTTGGGCGCATGTCATAAGATGATGTAAGAGTTGTGATTGACCAACATTAATGGTTTCGTGACACATCAAGCAAAATGTACAGCTGGTGTGTTCAATGCGTCAAAGGAATATTATTTATTTTTATTGACAGTTTCAATAGAAACACATACTATAAATTTCAATTTGGAAGAAAGATATCATTCTTCTTCTACAATACCTGGGACACAAAACCACCACAGTTTTATACCAATGTCACTTACCTCAATAAAAATAAGAAGAGTTTCATTTGATAATATTTGTATTAATGTGGATTTTTCTACTAGCAGAATTTTTATTAATAAAATTTCAAGTTACACACCAGGAGAACACGTGGCCTGCATCTATGATGCTCAATAGTATTTAGGAAATATTCTTAGTATTTCAGAAGAGCATTAAGATCTTCAAAATAAATTTATGAAAAAGACTTCTTTATGTAACAAATTCATATGGCCATGCAGAGATGATCTCTGTTGAGTATCCCTAATGCATATTTTATGCAAAGTACAATCTCTTCAGTCAAACAGAGGAAGATTTTATAATATTGACTTAAAAGAAATCAATGAAACAATTTTATTATTTAAGAAATTTAATTTTTTGTAAATTTTATTCATTTTGTTTATTGTCTAAAAAACTTTTTATTGTCTAAATAGTTAAAAAAAATGTCAACTGAAACTTGAAGTAATATATAAACAAATACTTCAAGGTCATATATAAACAAATCTCTTAAAATATTTAGTGTTAGGTTTGCAACACTAAAAATTTATTATAAAGCAGAGGGGGGGGGGAGGGGGTATAAGTTTTTATCTATTGGGATTATAAGGCTATAAATATTGATATTTTTTAATTGATATTTTATAATAAGTAACATCATTTAATTCAATGCATTTATTTATTTTGTTAACTTCAGATTTTTTTTATGGAAAATTTACCTGACTTTCAAAGACTATCTTTTGGGAGTATAAATAAGTGCCCATTAATTTTTTTGATTTTTTTTTTAATTAGCACTCTTTGATTGATGCGTTTAAAAAATTTTATGAAAAAAAAGTGCCATCTTAGGTAACAGATACTTTGCATAGCAGATCAATTTTAAAAAAATCTTGATCCGACTCATTTTGAAGACCTATAACATTTGAATGCAGCACTTTAATCAACTGATTTTTTTTTTTAATTATTTATCCCCCAAATGTAGATCGACAAGCAATTTTATTTTTTATTAATTTTTGAACTAGCTTTTAAGATTAAACACTTTAAAATCACAATAAAATTTAATCTTAAAACAACAATATCAACTTTAGCCCATTGGAAAAAGTTAAGATGTCAGAATTTAAATTTTTAATTTTTTTAAAAGTATCCATAGCATACTTGCGATCTTCAAATAACTGAAGTATAAAACCAACTTGTTCAAAAGTTATTAGCTATTTAAAATAATGAAAAAAATCTTTTTTCTTGCAGTGTGAAATTTCATGCAAAACCGCCCACTAATTAAGTAGCTTTTTCTCAAGAACCATATTAGATATTGATCTGAAATTTTTAAAACTTGCTTTTCTCATATATATGTACAAAATCAAAAAGTTTCAATCAAATCTGAGATGATCCATAAGGAACCTCATAAAAATTTGCTCCACTTGGCATGGAATGACCTTTTTTATAAATCCAAAAAAAATTATAAGTTAGTATATCAATCAATAAACTGTAGAAAAATAAAGTTCAAAAATAATTCCATATAGATAAAAGTAATTTAAGCATAGAGTTATAAGAAAATGTATAGAAAAAAAAAGGAAAGTAACCAAACTTAAAAAAATAAGGCTCCATTTTTTATTTAAAAAAACAAGCCATACTTTTTTAATTGTGCTAAAAAACTTACAAATATATGTGTAAAAAAAGGTGAAACTTCTTCTTGTAAAAAAAAAAAAATAGTAAAGGGCCCCTAAATTCTTAGCTCTCCCCCCCCCCCCCCCCATCAGAGGAAGACGGCTCTGAACTCATTCAATGTTAATTATTTTTTAATTTAATTTAAAAAAATATTACCTAATTTTTGCACACCACACATTTGTACCAGTTTCTGGTGTCCATTTAGAATTGCAACTAGGAAACAATTTGCTTTCTTCTTCGTCTAACAACTTGTTCTTTTTACCTTTACTGACACCATCATAAAATATTTTCAGGCCTTCTTTCTCCATGCCTTCACTATCATAAAAATAACCATTAAGCTTTCCAACATATTTATATTCTTTTTCATACAACTCCAGCCAATTTAATAGGCCTAGGTAATCATCTGGGTTCAAATTATCTATATTTTCAACCAAACCAGAGTCAGAAAAATCTCCTGTAACAAATGCTCTTGAAGCATCTTTTCCTGTAAAAAAATTGTATGCTCCATCTTTTCCATAATGTTTGTAACCTTTGGAAACGTCAAAAACTTTACCTAAAAGTAGAATGTAATTATTAGGTTAAATAGCCTAGTAAGGATTAAAATTTATAAAAACTTAACATCTTTCTTCTTAGTCTTACCTAAGATTGATATATATAAATCTTCTCCGACATCACCTGTAAACTTAGAAAGTTCTTCCTTTGACCAAATTTTAGTGTTGTCTAATTTTACCCATCCTAATTTATTTAACATATATGTATGAAAACTTAGATTTTTAGGAGAAGACAAGTCGAATTGTTTTATTAAATGCAAAAAACCATAGTTCATATCAATTGGTAAATAAATCGCAAGACCTACCACAACAATTGCACAATAAAATAAAAACGTGGATAACGTTGGGCATGTATAAGTTTTTTTTACTGAAGGTCTTTGTATACCATCTTCAGTTGTATACATTCTTGAATAGCTTTAACTGTCGAGTACAAATTTAAATAATTAAATTTACGATCAGTATACATTAATACGCTTTATAATAATACTATATAGCGTATTCATCTTATATAGTTAGTTATACATATATAGTTATAGTTAATCGTATATAGTTAGTTACAAGGGCGTATTTGAAGGGGGTGGGCGAAGGAGGCATTTGCCTCCCCTATAGCTCGTATTTTTTTCTAAATAAAACATTAATTAATAATTTATTTAAAAATTGTCCGTTTGATAATCATAATGATATCATACTTAATAAGAATTTTATGCCTGCACTGTGGTTAAACTGGTTTTGTCGTGGTGACAATATTCATAATTTTTGCACGGTATAAAAGATAATCTTCTATAACCGTATAATATTACTGTTTTATACTTTTATACCGTATAATACTGCTGTATTACTACAGAACCGTTTTGCTATGTTTCTTTTTACATCCCGAGTGAACAGAGCTAGTATCATATAATCTGTGGTATTACCAATTAACTTATAGTAAGTATTTAGCCACTATATAAAGTAGGTAGTGATAATGACTAAACGTAAATTGTATTATTATTTATTACAAAACTTTATTGTATTTTGCATTTTGTTTTGAGTTTATATGTACTTGATTTTAAAGCTTAACTATTCATGTTAATATGAGTAAACGCAATGCTACACAAAGTTTATCATTAAAATGGCTGGGCAAACGCCCAAAAATGAAATTACTAATGATATTTCTCCCAATTCGAGTAAATCAAATGTCATTTTGCACTTTATAGACATTCTTTTTTTTTTGCTTATATGCTTTTGCTTATATGAGTATTTGTTAGAGCTATATAAGTCTCTAATTGTTTTACTAATTTGTGCACAAATGCATGGATATTTTTTCATATATTTTTCCACTTTTCTATATATGTATGTATATATATATATATATATATATATATATATATATATATATATATATATATATATATATATATATATATATATATATATATATATATATATATATATATATATATATATATATATATATTATTTATTTACGCGAAACGCAAATGAGTAACAGAAACAAAGCTATAGGTAATCGACTGTAAATTATTTTTAGAATAGAAGAAAAATTACTTTTGGCCGCCTCCTCCCCCATGGTCTCAAATCAAATACACCCTTGGTTAGTTATACATATATAATTATTGTTAATCTTATATAGTTATACTTTATAGTTTGTAATTTGCTTAAAATTTTAACAAAATAATTTTGGTTATCATAATCTGGATCCCATAGGAGGCGGCAGGGAGGGGGAAATTCCAATAGGGGCAAACGCACCCTATATATTTTGGAAAAATAATTTTCAAAAATTTTTATATTTAAAAAAGCATATTGTTTGAAAATTCATGTAAATTAAGGATTTTGTTTAAAGTGGTGAAAAATTGTAATAAATTTGTGTAGTACAAAAAAAATACTGATATATGACGTAAAATAAATTTTTGAAAAATTATTAATAATGACGTAATTTCATAGTTAAATAGATTAAGACCGTGTGAGATAAATATTCCAAAAAACTTAACTTAATAACAGTTATAATTTAAACCAGAAAAAAATAAAAATGCCTCCTTCGATACCTCCTTCGCTTCCCTTACTTTAAAAGATAGTCTGGATACACCGAATCAAAAAACCACCCCCTTCCTTCTACCTAGATGGTCTGGAGTCAATCAAAAAACCTTCAAATAACCCCCACCTCTTCCTTACTAGGTGGTCTGGATTAGCCCCTGATTTGGTGAAGCTAACCATACCATATTCTTACAACTAATTTATTCATTGAAGTAATAGTTGAAACAAAAGAGGGATCCAAGATTTATTTTCTAATTCTTTTCAATTCTTAAAGTTCTTAAAGAGGAGAGGTAAAGGAGGTAAGAGTATGTTTCTGTTTTTTTATTTATTTGTTTTACGAACAATTTGATATACACATGGTAATGATACAATTATTTGTATAAAGGAGCCAACAGAGACTTCATGATACCATTATAATATATTTATTAGTGCCCCATAACAACGAGAGAGTGAAAGGGGACTATTGCCATCCCCTCCCTTCCCAAGCCCAACGGCGTAGGGACGGAGGGCTATGGCAATAATCTCCTTTTTTTAGCGCTTTTTTTTTTTTAATTATCATTGCTTCCAACAAGGCTGCAAGCAACCACTAATTAGTGTTGGAAGTTACTGAAAGAGAAAAGATGAAGATTGTAGATCAAGACAACGATTGACAGACGACTTGAAAGATTGCAATTTATATGAATCAAGAAAGCAAGATGAAGGAAGTGAATTCCAAAGAACTGATGTTCGAGCAAAAAAACTAAACAAATAAGAGTTTTTTGAGCACTTAGGAACAGTAACAGAAAAAGGATGAGACTTAACTAAATGACGAGTAACACGAGAATGAATTTTAGTAGAAAGCACAAGAGACGCTAGCTCTTTCGAGCAGTGCCCATTATAGTATTTGTAGAAAAGAGAAAGAGAAGCAACATTACAACGATGTGACAGAGGTTGAAGGTTGGCTGCAAGAGCAGGTCCAACTATGTTTACAATGCGTTTTTGCACCTTGTCTAAAAGAGAAAGGGCATCATTAGAAGATCCGCCCCAGATATGGCAACAGTATTCCATACAAGGCCGGATTTGAGATTTATAGAGATAGAGAATAGAATCCAGAGTAAGTGACGAGCTCGATAAAGAGAAGCAACTTTAGCAGATGCTAATTTTGCAACGGATTTGGTATAAGGTTTCCAAAGATCGGAAGTAAGAGTTAATCCTAGAAGATGAAGGGTAGGAGACTCATCGAGTACATTACCGTTCATAAATATAGGAAGGTCTAAACTATTGCGATAACGATTGGCCAAAAAAAATTGAGTTTTATCTGAATTAAAGTTCACCAGCCACTATGAGCCCCATGCTGTAGCAGAAGTGAGATCCTTTTCAAGCTCAGATGCCCCCTGCAAGCAATCAGAGGGAGTTGGCTTCTTATTGTGACAAGAATAAATGGTAGTATCATTAGCGAACAATGCCACCTTAGATTTGAGAATATCTGGAAGATCGTTAATGTAAATTAAAAAGAGTATAGGGCCAAGGATTGAACCTTGAGGAACCCCTGAGGTTACAGAATAAGAAGAAGAGTGCTGTCCATCAAGGACAACTTTTATACTACGATTGGAAAGGAAGGATTCAATAATCTTAAAGATGTTTCCAGATACACCGTAAGAAAAAAGCTTATGGAGAAGACCAGCATGCCAAACTTTATCAAACTTTATCAAAAAATACAAAGACAGATGTATATCAGGGAGAAATTTCCGTCAAATTCCTTTGCATAAATGCTATTCAACAAATCTAAGAGACAATCAGTTGTTTGTTAATGGCGTCGAATAGACAAAAAAAGGTGGAACTCATCAAGTAATTTGTCTTTGCTAAGATTATTTGACTGTTTGAATTTGATTTGACTGTTTGCTGAGTCCAAATTGATGTCAGTCGTAGACCAGATGAAGGAAAATAATATGTGTTGCTGTTTCAGAGATTGAACTCGCTCTGTAATCTGCTGAATGAATCTAATCCAGTGTCAATTATGTCAAATTGGATGCTTAGAAGAAATTTTAACTCGCTGCATTGATTTAAAGTAAAGTCTCTAAACAGTATGGTCTAAAAAAACTGTGAGAAACGTTCAAAAATTACTTTTTCCTCCTAGACTGTTAAAAAAAACTAACTGCGTGACTGTGCGATGATTACATTTTTACAATACATCCTTTAGTTTTATAATTGTTTAGTTTTTAAAAGAAAAAAAAATCCTAAAACTGTATCCTAATATATTTTCACCTCAAAAAAAGTCTTAAAATTTAATTCTCTCAAAAATTCTACTCTTAATTAGTCTCGTTAGAGTTCTAATTGACATATCAATTAGAGTAAAAGAAATTTCATTAATCTGCAAATAGTACTGTGTTTAAAATCTTTATCATATGATATTGTTTTTTATTGTTTAGATAATATTTTCCCAGGGTAAATATGATGGTCAACCGTATTAAAAGTTTTGCTAAGATCAATATAAACTCTAAAGATAAACGTTTTGATAAAATGCTTTGAAAGTGTAGTGGATTAATCATAGCTTAGACAGTGGAATTATCTGACTAAAACCCAAATTTTTTGTCGCATAGAATATAATTTAAACTTATACTACATAGCATTAACTGCTCATCATACATACATCAACTGCTCCACTAAATGGAAAAATAATAAGCTTAAAATCTAAAATTTAACTAACAGTAAAAGCTGAAACATAACTTACGATCTAAACCCTTGCAAATCTTTCAGATCTGTTGGCTTGCATTCCTTAATACTTAAGATATGTGCCACAAGCTTTTCAATTTTCTTAATTCTGGAATAATACCCACGCTGTGGAAATTAGCAAAAATTAGTCCGGTCTATAAAAAAAAGGGAGATGAATTACTTGCTGAGAACTATCGACCTATTTCACTAACTTTTGTTACCTGTAAATTCTTCAAAAAACTTGTAAAGAAAAAAGTTTAAAGCACATTAACAATAATAACATGCTTTCTGAAAATCAACTTGGCTGCCTTTATCATAAATCATATGTAACTGATCTAATAGAGTATTGATATTATTATGTCTTCCATAGTATCTCATCAATTTATTGATGTAATCTAACTTGATTTTGCCAAAGCTTTTAATTCTGTTCCTCACAACAAACTTGTTGTGAAGTACAGAATCATAAAAAAGTATTAAAATTAAGATCTTTCGGAATAAGCAGCAAACTCCAACAATGGATTAAATGCTTTTTAGTAGGCAAAAAACAACGCGTTACAACTAACAATATCAGCTCTGCATGGGTTGATGTTCTCAGTGTTGTTCCTCAAGGTTCTCGGTCCACTTCTCTTCATTCTCTACTCAAATTGATCTTTCAAAACTTATTACAAGTTCAACAAAGATATTTGCCGATGGTACTAAACTTTTTTCAAAAACCTTATGCAGACAAACCTTGTTGATTTTCAGGATCGTCTTAGCTTGTTACATGAGTTATCAAACACTTGGTTACTTAAGTTAAATATTTCAAAATGCTGTGATGTT